GGGTGGGTGGGTGTGTAAGTGTTAGTCGTGTGGGGATGCCCCCTTACGGGGGCGTACGTGTCTTTTGGTGTATTTGTCTGTCTGGTATATTGTTTGTCGGGGGTCGCAATTTTAAAGAAATGTATTTTAAAGTAATGCAAATAACTGATAAATAAGTTAAAACTTACCTGGGCATAACCCCGGGACAGGTACCTGAACAAAGATGCCGACGGCCTCTATGCTTAGCCGGGGATTAGGTCGGTGATTAAAAGGAAAGAAAGGGATTCTTTCCAGGTAGCCTTAATAAAGGCAGGTAGATTTTGCTCGTTGCAATCACTTCACCTCACAAACAAACACGTCCGCTCAGCTCGGCTGTTCGCACTGAACTGAGCTGTGCTCCAAAAATTTTGTACACTACTCCACTCACCACTATGGTCCATAGAATTATCTGTATAAGATTACTGAATCGCTCGTGTTCCGTGTTCCGTGTTAAGCGTGTTTTTGAGCGAACAGGCTAATTGCACGAATAACCTCAAAATTTGAAGATGGTAAAATTAAAATTGAATAAAAATTTAAAAACAGTCTCATTTGATGAGGAAATTATAACAAAAGATAGTGCGAATGAGCTACTATCGCAAGTACAACAGACAAATGAAATAATGGAAAAATCTAGTGTGAAGACAAAAAAGGGAGATATTGTGTCTACAAATGGTTTAAGAAATGATGATTCAAATGAAACTATTGTTACAAACAGAAAATCCAAAAGAAAAAGGCGAAACAAAGTTGTCAGTGAAAATAACATTGGAAATCAAGAGGTACTTTTGGAAACAAAAATGAAACGTATAAAAAGAAAATTGGTAACAGATGATGAAAATTTAAAAAATGATCAAGTTAGTGTTAAAGATCAGAATCAAAATGAGGAGTCAGAGGAAAAAAAAATGAAAAAAAGAAAGAAAGTTAAAGATCATGAAATTGAAAAATCAGGACAGCCAGAAGTAACTGATCAACAAGTTGGTGAAGTTAGTGTGGAAAATCCAAAAGTAAAAACTAGTGAATCCATCAGGGCTCAGAAACGAAAAAAACATGCAAAGTTATTAGAAGAAAAACGTTTAAAAGGAGAAGTGGTTAGTCAGCAAAATGCTTTAAATTATTTATCGAAATGGAAACATTGCCGAAGTGAATGGAAATTTGAGAAGCTCAAACAGATTTGGTTGCAGCAAAATTTGTTCGATACTAGTAAAATTCCAAGTGAGTTTTGGGAAACCGCTCTTGAATATTTCAATGGTTCAAAGGGATTTATTCGTAATGTTGTATTAAGAGATGCACTGAAAATTATAGAGAAGGAAGAAAGTACCGAAGAAGAAAATGCCGATGAAAACTATTTATTAATTGTAAAGAGGGCACGTGATATTGTACAAAATTTACAAGAATAAATGTATCTCAAATTTTTCATTTTATTAGCTGGTACCTTCCTTGATCACATTTTAATGGCAGATTTTACATCACAAATCGAATAAAAAAAACTATAATATACTATACCGGGTGTTTCAGAGTTGAAAAACCTAAGGGAGATTCCGCTCTGCAAAATATGTAAAAAAGTTCATGTGAACATGGGTCCACATGTGCTTCGTTTCCCAGATACAGGGTGTTAATTTTTTTAAGTTGAATTTAAAAAAACGCATTAGCCGATTTGAATGAAATTTTTACGATTTATTAAAACAATATACATCAACTGGATCAATTAGGTTTGATCCAGAATTTTCTACAAAAAAAAAACGACTTGCTCGCTGGGTATGCTCCTGCAAATTCTAAATCAAATCTAATTGGTCCAGTTGATGTATGATAATTGTTTTAAAAAACCATAAAAATTTCATTCGAATTGGCTAGTTTTCTTTTAAATCAATTAAAAAAAAATTAACACTCCGTTTCTCAGAAAAAGAAGTACTCATGTTCATATGAACTTTTTTACATATTTTGCTGAGCGGAATTTCCCCTAGGCTTTTGTCACTTCAACTCTGAAACGCCAGGTATAAAGCTATGTCTTATTGACTGTTTATCGGTTTCTTCTACCTTGATATATTTTTTTCAAATTGTCGTTTAAAATGCCACAATTATTAAGGAATTGTCTTGGAAAAAATTCAGAGAATACTTATTTTACAGACTATAATTCATATTCATTTAACTGTTTAATGCATAGGGGCAGAACAAAACAATTCTAAAATAATGGGAGATAAATACCCAAGTAACTAAATTGTTCGTTGGTTATCTTAACTATGGCTATAACTATAAATTCAAAACCTGTCTATGTCCGATGGTTCTGCCGATAAATGATTTTAGCTGTTCGCTAGATATGAGGGGTATAATACAATGCTGGAATTCGGGTTTCCTGCAGTGCCATTAGTTAAAAATTTTAGAATAACATGGCTGACATGAGTTTTAAAAAAATAGACACAATCAATTAATTATTGACTACAATATTATGTTCAAATACGCTTTATTTTTTTTAATGTGTTACAGTAATAAAAGAGTAAAATAAATTTTTAATTACAAAAAAACAGTTGAAGTAATTTAATTCAAATTTGACATACAGCTTCATTATTTTTGGAGAAATATTTTTTTTTTGTTTAATAGGGGCATTGATTAATTTATAGTTGTTGGCAACATAAACTTATTCATTGTTATTTGTGTTGCCTATCCTTCAGGCTCACTTAAACGAAAATAACATTTTAAAGTAAACTTGAAGCCCATTAATATTATTTCAGGTACAGTGTATTCTGATTTATAGGTACATAAGTCGTAAAAAGTTTGAAAAATTGCATTAGCAATTTGACACTGGCACTTATTATGCACCTCGACCAAAACCTATATTTGTATGGCGTTGCCAGCTTGTTGCACACAGAAGCAGGCTCATCCATAAAAGTGCGCCTTTTTGGCACAGGTACATATATGTACATATAGGCGGTTGCCTATAAATATATAACCCTGAAAATAATAAGATGGTATTTGAATATTACCTAGGTATAAAAAAATAGTTATTTTATTTCTTCATTTTGTCGTGGAACTGAAAAATTGGGCTATCCAACTAGCTGCGAACATCGATTAGTTCCTTGGATTTGCCCATCTTATCATGTTGTACTTGGATTTAGGATAATGGTCCACGCTCTAATTAGGGTCTGGAACTCTGGAGACGCACTTGAGCACTTCACTTGATTCAGTTGGTTTTAGAAGGTTTCAACTGACCCCTAGACTGTTTTACACTCGGGTTTTAAGAAGCACTTCAATTTATAATCGTTATTTGAGGTCTGTATATAGCGCTTGTAAGCTTTAGTTTTTTTTTTTCACTGCGTTTCGTAAGAGAGCTTGTGTATGGCTGTAGGTATCTATTAATCCGGGCAAATTAGACCAAACACATGCTGTTTAAAAAATCGGGCCTACCTCGAATTTTATGGGCTTAAAATTAAGTAAAAAATACAGAGAATAAAAGCCTAAGTTTGTGTATTTGTAGAGGTCGAGCGTTATATTGTTTATAACAAAAGAAAAAAAAATAATTGCTCTTTTTTCAGTTTTTCGCTTATATCTCCCAAAATAAGCCTCTAATCGGCATGAGGTATGCTTATCGATTTTGTTCCTGAGGAAATTTATTACCAGGATAGGTATTTGGGAAAGCTCGCAACATTTTTTTACATTGGAAAATTAGCGGTGAAGAAGAAAATGTGTAAAATTTTCAGTATTAAATAAAAAGAACGAATTTGGTTGAAATTGAATAAAACTACAGGAAAAGATAGCTGTTGGGGTGCTCAAGAAATACCCGCAATCCGGCACCCAATTTCAAAATGACAGCCAAATGCAAAATTATAAAGTCGAAAATACGAGCGCGTATATCTTCTGTCTAAGTCAAGATATCGAAATTCGGTAACAAAGTATCGAAAGGTAATTACATTGTCTCACGTTTGCCTAAATTTCAGATTTTTCAGTTGCAAAATAAAAAAGTTATTAATAAAAAACCAAAAAAAAAGACGGTAACTAGGATCCTTATCTCGGCGGTTTTTCAATATACAGATTTCAAACTAATTACATTAAATAGTGCTTAAAAAAAATCAATTTAAAAAAAGCGTCTCGATCCGACCAATATGAGACGAGATAATTTTTTTTCTTAAAAACGGTATTCTGGCTGTTCTATTTAATATTTTGTAATAAATTTGGACTCTTTGTAAAATATAAGACTTCCTTTATACGCCGATTTTTTTTGAATGGATACGACCAAGAAATGACCAAGTAAACGTGCGTTAAAGACAGAGTGATCCGCGCTGTGACGGCGTAGTACCCATGCTGCGCTCGATTTCTCAAAATTCTTACGGCACAAAGAAAACAGCTACCAGGATGCTTTTTTTAAATCAACTTATTTTTTTTCGCTCTTTCGAATGGTGTAAGCTAAAAGTCTGTGAAAGTCATCGCCAGACCTCGAAAAATACATTTTTATTGTCTTTTTACGTTTTCTTTTGTAATTTCATTATGCTTTCGATATTTTGTAAAGTAAAAAGGTCTATTTACGTATTTAAAATTAAAGGCAATTATTTCTTTGAACAAAATGATATCGAATGTTACAATGACAACATTACATGTAAGTAGGTAGGTACTGCATTTTATAGTATTTAAAAGAACTGTTACATTCAATTTTACCATATTTAATGAATTGTACTGCTAGAGAAAGTTACTTAAAAATCTGAAATTTACACAGACGCGAGATAATTTAGTTACCTTTCGATCCTTTTTTACCAAATTTCGATACCGTGACTTGGGCAGAAGATACATACGAGCTCGCGTGTTTGACTTTATAATTTTGTAATGATAGGCCGCCATTTTGAAATTGGGGGTCCGGATTGCGGGTATTTGTTGAGCACCCCAACAGTTATATTTTTCTGTAGTTTCATCCAATTTCAGTCAAATTCGTTCTTTTTATTTAATGCTGAAAATTTTGCACATTTTTTTTTTACTACTAATTTTGTAATGTAAAAAAAAATTGCGAGCTTTCACAAAAGCCTATCCTGGTAGCAAATTTCCTCAGGAATAAAATCGATAAGTATACCTCATGTCGATTAGAGATCTATTTTCGAAAATATAATCGAAAAACTGGATGGCTCTCTTGAACGGTCCAGTTTAGGTCGGCATCATTTCCATGTCTCGACTTTGCTGTCCTGACCATTTCCGAGCCTCTGGAACATGACATTCTGGATTGTTTCTTGTTATTATGTCTCCGTAGGTTCGAATTTAGTTGATTTTGGAGAATTTGGACCTCCAAAATTTGAACCTGGAAGGGCTTCGTCGCCCTTATTTTGCGTCTTTGGAAAATAAGGTAAAAATTTCCCATTCCCGCGTTGTGTCGTTTTAGGGATGTCTGTTGGCAGTATAATCCTTCGTCGACTTTGACTATAGTCATTGAACCGGTTTGTGGATGCTCGGAGTGGTTTTGCGCGCGATGACGGGATTTTGGAAAGTGAGGTGAAAATTTTCCTTTCCTCTGCATTGACGTGCTGGCGCTTTGGGTTCTTCGGGCGCTTGGACTATGCATAGGGCGGTTTTTTGCGGTTTCGTGGTCCCGATTGAAAAGTGTCGCAAATTTTTGAAATCACACATTTTCTTATGTCACTACTGCTCCTATATTCAGCGTTAATGTTAATGAACATTTGTTGAGGTCAATTAAATTTGATTTTACCTATTTAGTACCTACTACTAATATTTTTATTTACTTTCTTTAAAACAGACGAAATTGAATAAAAGACACAGCGAACTATTATAGGTTTAAAAGTAATACCTACATAACTCCTAGAACGGGCTTAAAGCACTCAATATTAATTATATATCGTAATGTTGTCCAGATTGTCCCTTGATAAAGGTGTAAAGTTGCTAGTCGCCATAAAGTATCCGGAATTAACCGAGTTGCTCGTACCTGGTACAGGTATGCCTCAATATTGGCCCTCTGGGATCTACTTGCTCCAGACGGCTTTGCAATTAAGATTCACCTGCTGTAAATTTCGCTCGTCTTACGTATTTGTTCCCTTATATCTCCTAGGAAGGTGCCCCGATCTATTTCATGAGTTTATATTGATTTCCTACTTTACCGGTATTTTAGGAAGTTGTTCATAAGCCAGATTTGCTTATGTGTACAAAATAGAGCAATTTAAATGATCCGGAAGTATTTAAACCTGTTCAGGCATAATATTGACGGTATCTTCATATAGCAAGCTGGTGAAACATACACATGCTCTCAAACATAAACATACATTATTTCGATAATGACTTATTGTTAATTGTTATTAACGCAATGATGTAAGATTGTATCAGTAGGATAAACGGAATATCCCAGGACTTGAGCAAAAAATGGAGAGTGAGCAGCTGAAGTCAAAATAATTCAGCATTTTAGGCAAAAAATAAAAACTAGATAACGACT